TGGAGGTCATCTCTCGGGCTGAGCCCTGGCAGGTCACAGCAGCATCCAGAATGTGTATGTAAAAACCTTCTAGGGGAAGCAAGAAAAAAAAAAAAAGTAAGGATTTCAACCCCCCCTGCCCAACACACCCCAGACCATGACCTCAGACAGTCTCTGTGCCTGAGACAACAAATCCAACTTTTAAAAAAACCTTTAGTCCTGGGGCAACATGCCAAAGTTGTTGCTACGTTCCACGTGGCTAAAACGTCTGCATGAGTGAAAGAGTCTGCCGCTCCCAGAGGAGCCGCTGACTATGGGCAGGAAGGGGTACCCGATGGAATCTCCAGGAACTTTTGGACAATCTGCTCTGCCGCCTGAGGGGCGAATGTCCTGTCAGTATGGGGCACACCAGAGGAGACCAAAGGGCTTTCCAAAGCGATTCTGTCCCTGGTGCAGGCTGTTTTGGCCGGTGACAGCCAGCTCCAAAGGTTTCTATTAGAGCTAGACATTGGTGGGTAATTACCAAGTATTGATAAAAGTACAGATGGAACACACTTGGGAATGCAGAACCATCTGCTGATGGGCTCGTTGTAATCACCTCCCAGATCATTTCCTTTGTTCTTAATACACAGGCAAACACACTCTCACATAAACCCACAGATTATTTTTCTAGCGCATTCTTCTTTCCTTAACCCAGGACTCTCGTGTACCAACAGTCAGATCACCTCCTGTCAGGAGGCCACGTCACCTCACTTCCCCTTGTCTGGTCATTCTGCATCCGAAGTCCCTCATACTCAGACTGTTGGTCATTTGGTGCAGTCAGAGACCAGGCCCGTTGCCTGCAAGTTTTATACGTGTTGAAACGGGAGAATGTCTCAAGGCATCGGATTTTTCAACTGCTCTCCCACAACTGGCTGTTTCACAAATAGTTCTTTCAAAGAGCCTTGTTCCATCTGAGCAAGCATTTGCTGACTCACTCAGGGAGCACACAACTTCCAGGAAGTTTGGTTGGCAACAGACACCGGCTACAAAAACCAAGGCAATTGTTTTTTCCATTATTCCATTACCAGCTGGCAGAGAGGACAAATAGTCAAAATAGAAATTTCTCCTTCGACATGAGGTCATGGAGACCGCTGGGGCTGCTACCACCTGGACATCTCAAATTATTTCAGATGTTGCTTGGTCTAAGATCATGATTATGAGCTGGACGTCTTTGATTCCTGCTACCTGCTGCATCACTGAAGAACTAGTCTAGGCCAAAACAAAAACACGCTCGGATATAAATAAATCACTTCCCGGACAGAATTTCATTATTGAAGTTATTATGATGGTAAATTCTACTTAGGATGTTCAAAACCGTCTGTCTTTCCTGAAGTTTAATTTGAATAAGGAATCTAGCAAACGGGTGACTGATTCCTGAGAGAAATATGAGGGATGGCTGTTATGATTCTTCTGGGTTTTATTTCCATATTAACAATAGCATAATCATACTTCTGTTAAAATCTTATTATAACAGAAAAGATATATTGGCTATCTGAAATTCATTTGCCAGTATTAAGAGCCAAACAACTACCGCAGGGATAGGGAAAATAACCAGTTCAACAGAAATCCAAATATCACTTTCTAGCTTTGTCCTATGCTAGCTGTCCAGAGGAAAAACCAGCTCACACCAGACATCACATATCCCTAACCGATTTGCCACCTCGGGCCCCTTAGTTAAAACCTGTCCTCAGAAATGCATTATTATTCAATGGCATTTAATCTCAAGTTTACTTTTATTTCTTTTTTAGATTTTAAGACTTGGCATCAGCTTTGCAAAGGGGGGAAGCTATCCATGGGCATTTTTAAAAATGGGCTCCACCCAGGCATTCTCTCTTTAAGTGTGAGTTGACATAAAGCCTCTTCTTGAAAAGTGTCATAGAACAGTCCAGAAGGAATTGGGACCTGAATTTAAATGATTGGTTAGAAAAAACTTGGGAGACTCTCTGAGGATATGAAAGAAAAATAAGAAAAGCTTTTCAGGATCTTTAAGAAAGAGTGTCCTTAACTAATATCAAAGGTTTGAGTTTAAATTTCCTTTTAACTTAACTGTAAATAATAATTCAAACTAGAATCCTGGAAAAGGCCTAATTCAAGAAAGCAGAAATTAACCTTAAGGTAAACTTGCTATGCTGCTGAGATGATTTCTAAGCACAAGAAGATCATGAAGGAATATAAAAGTTTACAAAGCATCCTGTGCGTATGACAACATCTGTGAATTGAATGGTCTTTTGGAACATCTCCCTGCCAAGCTGAGGCATTAGAGGGATGAAAAGTTCTCAGCCCCTGTGCTCTTGAGTTTCCCAGGATATGCCTATTGCCAACTCTCCTTACAACAGGAAGCGTGCATGGTGTGTTTGCTTTGGACCAGGCGTCCTTCTGAGCACTTGTCACACTAATTTATTCTATTCCTATACAAACCCCATGAAGGAAGCACTCCCATTCCATGCATTTTGTAGCTGAGGAAACTGAAGCCAGGTTAAATAACTTGTTGTGCCAGTTCTTGATTATATTCTCTCTTGCCTCCAAATTCACCCTTTTTGCCTGCTTTGTTATGGTGGATCCGGGCCCTTTAAATAGTTTTTCCTTTGCAAACTGACACGATGTGCAGCTTTGACAGAAGGGCAAAGAGAGAGGGAACTGGAGAGAAACTGCAGGGAAAAGGCGATGTGACTTTCTGGATCCAGTGCATTTGCTCCTGCAGGGCTGCCAAGGTCAGCAGCAATCAGTGGCCAGCATCTTCCCCCAAGCAGCCAGAACCCAAGCACATTCAGATGTAGATAAGTCATTTCCAGGGCAGAATTTCATGACTGAAGTTATGATGGTAAAATTCTACCGGGAATTTTCAAAATCCTCAAGGTCTGTCCTAAAGTCTAATTTTAATACTTCCCCCGCAAGGTGGTATCGCAGCAGAGTGTCTCGGAGGGGACAGTGCCCAGTGCATTCTAGAGGGCACACTTCTGGCAAATTTTAGGGGGCAGATTTTCCTACAAGTTCCATTCACGTGACACAACAGAGACTTATCTGCCATCTGCTGAGATGTAACTGTGTTTTCTCAGCCCAGGGTTGGAGGGGACACTCTTCCTGGGGGGTAGTGCTGTCCTTTCTGTCAGCTGTGCCTACCTATATTCTTTAGAGCAATTCTTACTTCTTGCTAGCCCATGGCTTGCTACTCCAATCCTCCGTTATCATTAATAATTGAGTACACTGAACTTTCTCATTCATATGACTGTGTGGTTTCCCTCTCCTAGCTGGACCTAGACGGATCCCCTAAGGCCACAGAGCAGAAAGCAGCAGCCAAAATCTGAATCCAGGTTGCCAGGATCTCCGGCCTCCCCTCCTGACGGTATTGTCAGATCGTCTCTCGTGGGCAGGACGTCATGGGTCTGATACAGTGTGTGCTGACCTGAGGCTTCTGATTCATATGAGAGGGCAGGGCAGAGAGGAGATGGTATCAGGAGAGGATGCTTGCAGGTAGTTTCTAAATCATTTTCTTTTTTTTTTTTTTGAGTTGGAGTCACTCTGACGCCCAGACTGGAGTGCAGTGGCCGCTCCCGGCCACCGCAGCCTCGACCTGCTGGGCTCCGGCGATCCTTCCGCCTCAGCCTTCCAAGTAGCTGGAACTACAGGCGCGCGCTACCACACCCGGCTCATTTTTGATTTATTGTAGAGATAAGGTCTTGCCAAGTTGCCCAGGCGGGTCTCGAACCCGCGGGCTCAGGCAATCCACTCACCTCAGCCTCCCAAAGGCGCGGGATTACAGGCTGAGCCACCGAGCCCGGCTCTAAATCGTTTTCTAGCAGACACACGAAAGAAAGGCATTCCAGAAAGAGGGGACAGTGTGAGCTGTTGTGAAAACAAGGAAGGAAGGATGGCGAGCCCAGGAAAGGGACAGAGATGTCCCCAGGGCTTTCAGAACTTCCGTTTCACTCCCAGAGAGAATCTGGGATTTTCAGGATCCTGAATCTTGCTCTCAACAGTTTTCCAGTTGTCTGGGAGACGACATTCTCCACTGGGACACCTGGAAGCACAAGGGAAGTGGAAAAGGACAAGGAACAGGCCGGTGGCACCCACTGGGCTTTGACAGCATTTCACACTGTGCACTACCATCCCAGCTGCCCAGCACATCACAGAATACATAACAGAAATACTTAAACTTTGGTAATAATTGCATTTATTTCCATCTGTATTGCAAAAACTAGTTTGCTCTTAACTTCCAAAACACATGTTTATAAATAATAGATATTGCAAATGTTTGGGAGAACAAATTGCAGAGTTGCAGCCTTTAGGACATTTATTAACACCACAGCTTATTTTTATTTTTATTTTTATGGGGGGATGGGCATGGTTGATACCTCAGAGTTTCCATAGAAATGGATTATTTTGTTAAGTGAGAAAAGGTGCTGGGGGTGGGGTGGGGGTGTGGATAGGGTGAGAGTGGAGGTGGATAAAGCATTGGGTGGGGTGGGTGGCTAAGGGTAGCTGCCCCGGGTCACAAAGAAACTGACTACTTGCTTGGCAGCCTCTGGCGTGGCACTCACTGATTTCCAAAGTCAGCCTCTAGCACGAGGCGGGGCACACGTCCAGAAAGTTTTAAAACATATCGTGTGAGGACCAACGTTTTGTAGTTTCCAGAACTGGCAGGCATTGGGATTGATATTTAAAAAGAGATGTATTTGGGTCTTAGCAACTTCATGAAAAAGATTCCCCCAGGAGATCTAACTATGCTTGCATGTGTAAGGCCTTTCTGTTGGGCCAGAAATAGCAGGGAGCAAGAAATCAGAAACAAAAGGGAAATGCAGGAGTAAATACACAAAGGGAACTATGTCTAGTGGGTTGCACTGAGTTGATTTCTCTGCAGCAGATTGTTGACCTATTTCCTCGAGGGCTATTGTTTCTGTTTGGTTTGGGTCAGTCGTTTCAAAAGTGATGTCTTCCCTTATGGAGAAAAAAAAAAAATCAAAAGTAAAATAAGTATTTTTCCATCATGAAGATAATGCTACGTTTAATGGCTTATCCAGCATTTGAAGCTCTCCCAGGCCCAGGTAGTGTGGTCAGCGGGGCAGCCTACGGTTAGACTGCGTTCCTTTGAAGGAGCTGGTCCAGTAATTGCTGGGGAAAATGGGAAACCAAGATGTCAAGTTCAGATTCGGCATCTGTGCGCCACACACATCACACCGGCTGGCGGCGAGGCCATTACCTTTTTGAAGACTTCGGCGCGGAGTCTGTTACTCTGTAAGATCACCCTCTTCCTTTGTTCTTCTTTTTTCTTTTTAACTTCCGGCAAGTTATTATAGATTCTGAAACAGTTTCAGAAAACATTTTGAGTGGTAGCATGACAACATGCTCCTGCAGCGGAGCTGCATCCTGTCCTGTCAGCAGGCTCTCCTATTTCAAAGGGAACATCACTGCGTGGGTGTCTCAAAATTGTGAGACGCCAAGAGGGCTTCCCTGACAGTCCACAGAGCAGGGTTGCATGGCAGGGGATAGTGCCTTGACCCTGTGCCTTCTGGGGCAGAGCGACAGGCAGGGTCGCAGTGAGGGGCAAAGCTCGAGGTGCTTGTTATTTCCTTAGAAGTCACATTTTTTTGGTCCCTCCATTCTGTATGATTATCGTAAAATGAGGAATTCTAAAAATACTATTTTGCTACGCTGTCACACACTTGTTCCCAAATACCTTTTTGCCACTCAGTTTCTGCCTTCTTATGACTTAGGAATGGAGTGGCAAAGAAACAGAAGTTGCAGGGATTATGATACCAGAACAAAGCACACATCAGTGTGTGTGGTTTTTACCTCTTAACCTATTGCATTTCGAATTAAGTTGTTTCCAAAGACATCTCAGGCATAAGTATTACGTTCTTGTCCTGAGGTAAAATTAGAAGCTTCCAAGATACAAGCAAGGCCCAAGGGATCCTTCTTCTGGGCACTTTTTCCCCTCACAGAAATGGTTCATGTACTGATGTCAACCAATACTAGACTCTACCGAGACTGTAGCGTCACTGTAGTTTGAGCATTTAGGCCGCTGCACACGGGGCTCTCATCTAAGACACCTCTTTTTCATTTTCTCTCATGTATGAAAGCCAGACAGAATCTTTTTTTTTTTTTTTTTTTTTTGAGTTGGAGTCTCACTCTGTCGCCCAGACTGGAGTGCAGTGGCCGCTCCCGGCCACCGCAGCCTCGACTTGCTGGGCTCTGGCGATCCTTCCGCCTCAGCCTTCCAAGTAGCTGGAACTACAGGCGCGTGCTACCACGCCAGGCTCATTTTTGATTTTTTTGTAGAGATGAGAGCTCGTCGAGTTGCCCATGCGGGTCTTGAACCCGCGGACTCAGGCCATCCACTCACCTCAGCCTCCCAAAGTGCTGGGATTACAGGCTGAGCCACCGAGCCCAGCTGATCTAGCTTTCTGATACTGAACATCTGAACCATCTGTGGAGTTTACAATAGACACTCCTACGCCACGCTTCTGTCACTCCTGATACAGTATTTTCTTAAAAGAGTTTCTCCAATAAATCATCATCCGATAAAGGATCACTCTGTGGACAGTCAAAACCAGTGAGGGAAAATCGTCTATATCTTCCGACACAGGAGAGGCTCACAGGCATATTTCCAAGTGATAAGAACAAGTTACCAGGACATAATGTATAGAACGATACCATTTATGGCTAGAAACCACATAAATACATATGTACAAATAAGAGTCTATTTTAAGGCAGAGAGAAAGGCCTGGAAGGACACACAGGAGACCTAACTGTGGGCGTCTTAGGAAATAGGACCGAGATTGGTCATGAGAAAGTTGAGCTTTATCTTCATTGTATGAGTTTTTAAAATGAGTATAATTAACAATATAATCAATAACAAAGACTGCAAAGGAAAGAAAGCTCCCGGCAATTCTGTGGGTAAGCCAGGGCCAGGACCACCCAGGCCACAGTGCACAGAGCAGAGTGAAAGCCAGGCTCTGAATCCACCAGAGGAGACCAGTTGGAGGAAGGCAGTGACTTGGGGTGCAGAATCACCTAGCACACTTGTCCCCTTTAAGTTTGTCTTCCCTTCAGTAAAATGATAGGGCAATACTCTGACTCCTAATGTTGCTTTGAGATCTGTTATTTTAATTCCTTCATTTGCAAGGCTCTGTTACAGCAGCTTTGCGTTTGGAGACAGGGAAGAAAAGATTTGGCTGAATTTTTTCACTCAGTTGAAAAGAGAGTCCTCTGGCACGAGGTACATGCAACTTGGCACTTCTGAAATAGCAAGTCTTAAAGCCCAGTGGCCCTTTAAAAACCCCAGTTAGAAGGCTATGAATCAGGTCTTTAATGGGATGGTCTCCTTTCTCCTCACTTCCACTTCCTCATTTGCCAAGAGACTCCCCTGTAGAGGATAAAGTTACCTCATTATCATGGAACAATACAATCGTGGTGAAAGCAGAGATTTGGTGCCTGGGGTGGGGAGAAAAGTATTCTTCCTATTTCAGTGGTTTCTCTAAGTGCGCTATCCATTGGACTTAATTATTATAATTCCTCCCTGTGCTAGATACTTTATTATAAACGAATGGCATTTTGCTTTCATGGACTTGGCCAACACCATGGAGCTATTGCATTTTGGTTAGGAGGCCAGGTCTCAGAAAGAATGACAGCCTTTGTGTGCACCAGGTTGGTGAGAAATTAGTGGGACTCTTGAATAGCAACCAGCCAAGCAGAACTGGGAGAATGTGCCGTGGAGCGGCCAGGTCTGCGAGCCACCAAGTGCTAGGAAACCTGGCTTGTGGCCCCTCTGCGGCTCTGCTGGCTCCTGCGCGTCATCGGCTTCCCAGTTTGGATCTTTTCCTTCAGGTCCTGCCACAGACAAGACCCTCAGGGGAAACAGCCTCTCTCCGCCTCATAAAATTAACTTCAGGGTGCAGCAGCAAATAGCTCCTGCCCAGAGCGACCATGTGAACACACAGGAGTTCCAGCTCCGGGTCTGGGGATCTCTCAGAGACCAATGACTTGACCAGCTCAGAATCCAAGATCCACCGTTTTCCTGAGGTTTTTCCAAGAGCATCACTAGCATCCAGAGGCACGTCTCAACGATTGCACGTGTTGTTGCCAGTTTTTCAGATTTGCTGCCGAAAGGACCTCCGACCTCAAACATGCACCCAGAAGCTGTGGCCCCGTTGGACAGCGCCTAAATCCACCTCCCCTCCCCAGCTTCTTACTATACTACACAGTAACCCAGTACCTTTTAGATCGCATATGCATCTCCTTCTCCGAAATGCACCTTTCTTTGGGTTTGAACAAGTTGTCTGGAAAAAAGAGAAAGAAGATGCATTTCAGAAGGTACAGGATATTGCACATTTCTGGAGAAACACTGTGGGGGGTTTAGTATATACTCTGTTATTGATCCTCAATCTAAGCCACAGTCTGTTACAAATACTGCAGGGCTCTGTAGACTGAAACACGGTAAGTGGTTGTATTGACAACTGACCGCCAACAAGATGAGTCTGGTTGATCGTTAAATAAGGGCGCAAAGTCCAATGTTAGCATCTAACCCACATTGTGGAGGGTGACTCCTTTGACAACAGAGAGTCATGGCCACGTGGGGGGAAGTGCCAGCGTGGAAAGTCATTCCAACCACAGAAACGTCAGTAGGTTTTTGAGGCCTCTGAGGACAAGGAAATTTCCCAGATATCCCTAGAGCATTTTGCAAGAGAGAGGATTTCACCCTCGTCTATTGTTCATCCTTGGAACTGCTTGGCCTCTGCAGGAGGAAAACAACCTTGTCCCTTTTCTAACGTCAGGAACAGTAATGGACAACAACGTAATCACCATGTATACTCGGTGTCTTTGATTAAGAACATACGCAGTGGCTAAAAATCATTATGAGACTGGGGGGGTTTTTCATCGCAAGTACACATTATAATCGTCGTGAGTTCACAGATGGCACACCTGAAATGATACGTCTTAAAAAGTAGTGTATACCCTTTTGCAAAAATGAAAAGGGGCCTTTTGCAGCAACTCTAAAATTCCCTGAGATGCTCAGCTCCACAGATGAACCAAGGGTCTGGCACACATAAATGCTGCTGGGGTGCTTGTGGCCTGGGGTGTAGCTGAGCAGTTGGCCACACTTTCTAAAACTCCTGGACAGCAACTAGCTCACTCTGCAGAAGCAGACAGGCAACTCGGTACTCTTGCCATGCACCACAGGGATGGAGTAGGTTCCCTGTGGTCCCCAACCCAGCGCCAGGTGTGTTTCTGTTCATCTCCCTCCATTCTTGGGTCTGCCCTCCTTGCTCATAGATCCAATGAACAACCAAAGACTTCTGAGGCTTAAGAATATGTGGATTTTTCCCAGGGATACCCAAGAAAGTGGGATGAAGACAGGACTTCTATGAAATTTTGCCCCGCTGGAGAAATCAAGCACACGTACTGACTTACAAGATGGAAAGAATACAGTGGCTGAGCTTGTGTTCTGTCTAGTTGCTCACATATGAAAGAAAAGAATATGGCACTGCTGTTTAACTTCAAAGACAAGACTCCAAGGGAAAATAGAGAAAAGAAAGAAAGAAACTGGAATATTCCCAACTAAGGAAAAATGTCATCTGTGTTTATAAAGGTGTGAGGCCACCACAGCGGTGAAAAGACAACATCACCTTGGAGAGTGTGATGGGCTAATTCATCTCCCAGTGCCCGGCCCAGCCCCTGCCCACATATAGCCAGGCCAGAGCTAAGGACCACAGGAAAATCCTGACAGCGTTTCCCAAAAACAGGAATGTCAGCTTAAGTGAATCAAGGTCAAGGGCGAGAGAGTATGTTACTGCCTGAAGACTCCCATTCAAACAAGGAAAAGAAACCTTGTACAAAGAATCAGATTCAAGTCTGGGTTCGCCTTCCTCATGAGCTACTCAAGGTTAGGGCGAGGCCAGTGTCAACAGATGGATGGTGTCCTGAGGGGATAAAAACATTAAAATTGCATTTGTAGGATTTTGATCATCTCAGTTCCACTGTATGTGGTCTACTATGGCAATCTGGATTGTGTTTTCAGTTTGTTTCTTTAGAGCACCTGATACCACAATTAAGCTTTGGTTTTATTTCCAAGAGGAAACAAAAGCAAATGTGAGCTATTTGACACCTCCTCCACTGTTCTGTTTTCTGAACTCTGCCCGGTGGGCCACAGCAGAACTTTCAAGACTGGCCCCAGCAGTCCATGTGAGGTGCGTAACAATCAGGTCTGTATCCAAGTGGGCTCCCGACAATGGGCTTCACCCCTCACCTTGGGGAAGTGTTTGCAGGATGGTTCCTGCTGACTGCATTTTTCCAACAGTCCCAAGCCCATCAGGCTAATTGCAGGGGTCTTCCTAGTCCGGAGAAAAGAGAGAAGCCAAGGAAGTGGTTTGGAAGAAAGCCAAGTGCATGAATCGTGATCTCAGTTGAGTGAGAAAAATATACCCACGTGGTGCAGATTTGGGCACTTGCAGAGGGGATATGCCAAGGGAGGCGGGGTGCAGCATTTACACCTGAGTGGTCACTGCTAGGATTCATACTGATACTGCTAGTGTTTATTGATGAGGCTATTTACATCATTCTAATCAGCCCTCCTACCAAGCCTGTGATGCGTTCGTGATGTTTTGCATTTTAGGATTGAGGGCACTGAAGTTCAAAAGGGTTCAGGTTCATCCAGGGAATGGGTGAACACCAGTGCCCAGCTCCAGCCACGTCAGCCCATCCGGGACCATTCATGCTCCTGACCCCAGAACACTGCCACCAACTTGTGCTTGCAGAATTTATGTTTTGGGAGCCCCAAGCAACTGCGCCTCCATTTCCCAGGAGACCAGCCCATAATTAGTTTCTCCTGTACTCCCTTCCTTCCACATTTAAAGAGTCGTTACTCTGTTGCTAGGGGACGCTCAAAAGAAAAAATAATAGATAAGCTCCTCCCCTCATGAGATTTCCTTTGTTGAGGGAGGAGATGGACAATATACAGGCTAGCTATAATACAAAGCATCTGGCATATGCTCTGATGAAAACGAAACACCATCCTATGGTAAAGAGGGACCGGGGTGTCAAGAAGGTACCCCAGGGAAGGAGGCCTTTAAACCAAGACCTGAGTGACCACAAGAGCCAGCCATGGGAGGATCTGGGAGAAAGAAACAGGGAGGTCCTGCCGTGGGAACCGAAAGAGGGTCATTGCAGCTGTAGTGGCAGACAGGGTGGGGGTAGAGGTCATAGCTAAGGCCACTGTGATTCTCCATCCAGTGGCACCTTACAGCCACCTGAGGATTTTGACAAAGATTCCTGTGTGGGGGCATTGGAATCCCAACCAGAATCTCCAGATAATTCCCGTGCGCACCGGAATTGGAAACCACCCGTGTTGGGTTTAGCCAACCCGTTGAAGGAGTTTGTCTTCAGAGAGCCCAGTGGAGTTTTAAACATGAGATCTGATGTCTGTTGCTAAAAGATGGCCCCAGTGGCTCTTCAAAATTGAACTGGGTGGAGGAGATGTAGAAACAGCAGCAGCGAGACAGGTCAGGCAACTGCAGGATGCCATTCCAGAAGCCAGTTTTTGGGTGGAGGAAAGACAGCAGTTCTCAGGGAGCCATGGGACTCATCTGCACCGGACAGGTGGAAACCAAGTTGTAGGACCAGGGGGATGACTCCTTCATTGAACAACTGTTCAGTTTTTTATCTCCTTGGTGCTGGGCAGGAAAGACACAAAGATAAGCAAGACTAAGCGCTCAAAGCCCAGGATGAGATGCAGGCAAGTAAGGACTTCAGATGCTGAGACTCAAGTCTGCACAGGAGAGAGGAGGCCTCAGGAAGGATCTGTCATGTCCACCAGGGAAGAGGGAATCTGGGAGAACTGCATGGCAGCTGAGACAGCTGAGCTGCGTCATGAGACAGGGAGATATGTCCCGTGATGGCCAGCGGGGGTTGGAGGGTGAGGG